AGGGGTCATGTTATGATGAGAACCCACAGGGTCATGTTTTGATGAGAACCCACAGGGTCATGTTTTGATGAGAACCCACAGGGGTCATGTTATGATGAGAACCCACAGGGGTCATGTTTTGATGAGAACCCACAGGGGTCATGTTTTGATGAGAACCCACAGGGTCATGTTATGATGAGAACCCACAGGGTCATGTTTTTGATGAGAACCCACAGGGTCATGTTATGATGAGAACCCACAGGGGTCATGTTATGATGAGAACCCACAGGGGTCATTTTTGATGAGAACCCCACAGGGGGCATGTTATGATGAGAACCCACAGGGGTCATGTTTTGATGAGAACCCACAGGGGTCATGTTATGATGAGAACCCACAGGGGTCATGTTTTGATGAGAACCCACAGGGGTCATGTTTTGATGAGAACCCACAGGGTCATGTTTGATGAGAACCCACAGGGTCATGTTATGATGAGAACCCACAGGGGTCATGTTATGATGAGAACCCACAGGGGTCATGTTATGATGAGAACCCACAGGGGTCATGTTATGATAAGAACCCACAGGGGTCATGTTATGATGAGAACCCACAGGGGTCATGTTTTGACGGCAAAAGAGTGTTTTTTCTTATATTAAGACATAATAGAGAGTTTACTTTGGATTTATGTCTAATCGCGGCGTTTTCTCCTAGTTTTAAGAAAATCACTATTCCTTTTTGTCTTTGGAAGACCTAAGAGTTTGCCTTTGGTTTTAAGAAAAATAAACAGGGAATATGATTTTTGTTTTAAGAATAACGTTTTTGTTTTAAGAAAAGCCACAGAATTTGTCCAGCTAGTGAGGAGTCAATAAGAGGAAAACAACAATAACAAGAGGTGAAATTTCTCTCCTCTTGCCTCTTCCTTTCACTCATTCTGCCTCTCCCTTCCTCTCATTCCGTCTTTCTGTCTGTCTGTCTCTCTTTCTTCTCACCATGTTATCGTCCATCTCCTTTATCTTGATATTCCTGGTTATTTCGTTACTGTATTTTCCCTTTTATGTCAACCCACTGTGTGTGTGTGTGTGTGTGTGTGTGTGTGTGTGTGTGTGTGTGTGTGTGTGTGTGTGTGTGTGTGTGTGTGTGTGTGTGTGTGTGTTATTTGTGGTTGCATGGACCCGCCTGTTAACTTGCCTCATGTCAGATTCATTCACTTCCTCTTATCCTCATGGCCACTGTCATACTTATTTCCATAATTATGTGTAGTTTACCTACACAACTTCTTCATACAGATCGTTTCAATTTCTGAACGTTCTCAGAGTGAAATACTTCCTGAGTCTTACAACTGTGCTCTCGTGTACCTGTTCCCCGCCTCCTGAACAGTTTATTCCTGTCCTTCCTGCCAAGCCCCTTGAATATTATGTGATCAGTATCCGATGGTGTGAGCCTTCTCTCTGGTGCTGATCTTGTTTCCAGTGAGAACTCTTCTTTAAATAGTTTGTTCAGATCCTCGAAGACTTCCATATCGTGTCTGGTGAGCTCTCTGCCTTCCTTCTTATCACCAAGTGTTTTATTCTTGTCTTCTGATGTGGCTGTGAAGCACCCACATCACCTTCTCTTCTCACCCTTGCATATTTGTTTCTGGCGTTTGTACTCTTTTCTTTTTTTTTTACACAGGGTATGACAAGGTTAGGTTAAGGATCCCTAGCTTTATTGACAAGCTAAGAGCTCATTTGAAAGCATTTTTATTGTTATGACACATACAAGTAGGGAACAGGATGAAGTTGGAGCCATCTGTGGGCCAGCATTTTCATCTGGTCAACTGACTTTATCTCGTTGACATCATAATGCTGTACTAATGTGTTCCATACTCGAGTCATCCTGGGGATAAATGATCTCAGATGGAAGTGATGTTCTGGAGAAGGGTACAGCCAGAGTGAAGTTGCTGCTGGCTGCCCGTCTTGTGGTATAGAAGCTTGCTTCATGCTGTCCTGTTTACCTCTGTTCTTGGCTCTCTGTACTTTTCATTTTTCCTTTCTACATCTCTGGTTGAACTTTGGACTTTTTTTTCTTCTTCCCATTGCTTCTTTTGAGTACAAAGTTCTCCACTAGCTCCTGGTCCTCTCCAGTTAGGGAACCTCAGCTCATTCATTGCGTACCCTCTGATTTCCTTTCAACCCATCAAAATTTCCTCTTCCAAAATTTGGTTGCTCCCGGCCCCCGCTTGCTATTCTCTCTTCAGTGTTTAATTAAACAAAGTTTTCGAAACTATTAAACTAGCACCCAGGGGCCTCTCATAATCTATTTCACGTTTATCAGACTCACAGGAAACAGGCCTGGTCACAGACCGGGCCGCGGGGGCGTTGACCCCCGGAACTCTCTCCAGGTAAACTCCAGGTATCCGGTCACTAAGGCTCCTCTCTCGCTGTATCACAGCTGCAGATCGTCTCATCCCACACACAAGTCTGCCGTCACCAGCTCCACATAGGTCTTCATATGTGTGTATTGTTGTGTTACGTGTACTCACAGTTTGTGGATGCCGGTGCATGAGTATTCGTGTCTGTCCTGTGTGGCGGAACTCCCGCGAATAAATTTTACGCTGCTACCGGCTGTAATAACCCCT